AGCCATTTTATACTTCAACTCCCAGAATTCCTGAGTCAGCCATGTTGCACTTCAATTCCCAGAATTCCTGAGCCAGCCATGTTGCACTTCAAGAATTTCTGAGTCAGCCATGTTGGACTTCAACTCCCAGAATTCCTGAGTACCCATGTAGGAATTCAACTCCCAGAATTCCTGAGTCAGGCATGCTTAACACAGCCGTTTGCAATGTCTTTTAGAGCATTTTTGCCAAAACACAGGCAGATTTAAGCACCCCATGATCCATCCTGCAGGCCTTGAGTTTGACCCCCCCTGATCTCTGGGCTCCATAGTTTTATGTCCTCTCCCAGCAGAGATGATCTCTGGTCGTGGGTCTTAAGCCAAGACCATGTAGCTGCGCCTCGGTCGTGCCTGGGAGGCTTTAGAAGGCAACCCTGGTTTTTCTCCACTTTGTAGCTCACACGAAGGACATGCCGTTCACCTGCGAGACGTGTGGGAAGTCCTTCAAGCGAAGCATGTCACTGAAAGTCCATTCCCTCCAGCATTCGGGCGAGAAGCCATTCAAATGTGAGGTGAGAATCCGTTTTTGGGGTGTCGTCCCGTTTGTGGAGGGGTGTGGGTGGCCTAGAAGTGGAGTTCTGGCCTCACAATCAGGAGGCTGTGAATTCGATCCCTAGGTAGAGACAGGTATTTCTCTCTCTGGGCACAATGAGAATATATATCCTCTGAACAAAACTCCACATTGGTGACAGGAAGAGCATCCGGCCAGTAAAAAAATTCAGACTCCATCCCGCAAGGGATTATGGGGTGGTTAAAAGAAGATGATCCCATTGACCATTCGCCTTTTGAAACCTGGCCCCATTTTCTGAGATCTGGGAGAACATTCTTAATATGATTCGTAAACCCAACTTTGCAGATAGTCCTCGATTTACAACCATTCATTTAGCGACGGCACTGAAAACGGGGACTGAGGACCGCTCTTCACACTTACGACCATGGCAGCATTCCAGAATTATGTGATCAAAATTCAGACTCTTGGCAACTGACTCATATTTATGACGGTCGCGGTGTTTCCAGGATCATGCGTGATCTCCTTTGGCAGCCTTCTGACAAGCAAAGTCATTTAACAACTGCAGTGATTCGCTTAACAACGACCCAAGAAAAGTTGTAAAATGGGGCAAAACTCACTTAACAAGGGTCTTGCTTAGCAACAGAAATGTGGGGCTCGGTTTTGGTTGTAAGTCGAGGACCACCTGTATGTCAAACTGCAGCATAAGGCGTAGGAAGTGTTTTTTTCCATTTATCCATTCCTTCCGGCATCTCACTTCTAAAATGTTGTGTGTATTCACAAATGACAGGAATGGGCTGTAAGGAATTAGTCCTTGACTTAACAACCATTCAGAAATGGGAGGGGTTTGGGGATCCTCTGAACTGCCCAGAATCTTAGCTAGGGGGCTCTCCCCCAGCAGCCCACCCCTGGGTGACTCTCTTAACAACCATGTCCAAAAGGTCATAAAATGGGGTGTGATTCACTTTACAACCGCCAATTGTTGGGCTCAAGAAGAATGGCCTATGAAAAGTACTTAAGTCTTGATTAAAAAAGATATGTTTGCGGCTTACCTGGAAATTCAGGTGTAAAAGGTGAGCTTTTCCTATCCATAATGTAGTTTCTCTTAAGCTTAAATAATGCTTGATTCATGACGCAGTTGCACATTGCAACCAGCCGCAGGACTGCGAGGTAGCACATAAATTTAAGAAATAAATAGATTAGATCGGTAGGCAGGAAGGAAGGAAGGCTAGACAGACAGACAGACAGACAGACAGATAGAACCAGAATTTCAGTTAGTAAGCAAGGCAGTTGTTAACATGAATTGTTGCGGTTGTTAAGTGAGTTGCATTGTTGTTAAGTGAATCCGGCTTCTCTGGGACTTTGCTGGAAAAGCCAGAAATAGTGAACAGCTGACCCCAGGATGCTGCAACTGGCAGAAATACAGTTTTGATCTGGGAGTGCTGTGATGGTCGCAAGTGCAGGGCCTGGTTATAGGTCACTGTTTTTATCATCGTTGTAACTTCGAATGGTCACCAAACAAATGGTTGTACGTCAAGGATTACCTATATATTGCATTCATCCACTGATGTATTTCTTTCCTTTTTTCTTCTCTTCCCTTCCCCTTCCTTCCTTTTTCTCTCTTTCTGTCTTGCTTTCTTTCCTCTCTCCCTCCTTTCCTTTTTCTTTCTCATTCCTCCCTCCCTTTTCTTTCTTTCTTCCATTCATTCTTTCCATCCTTCCCTCCCTTTTCCTTCCTTCCTTCCCTTTTGTTTTCTTTCTTTTTCTTTCTTTCTATCCTGCTTTCTTGCTTTCTTTCCTCCCTTCCTTCTTTCCTTTTTCTTTCTCATCCCTTCCTCCCTTTCCTCCCCTTTCTTTCTTTCTTTCTTTCTTTCTTTCTTTCTTTCTTTCTTTCTTTCTCATCCCTTCCTCCCTTTCCTCCCTTTTCTTTCTTTCATTCATTTCCTTCCTTCCTTTTGTTTTCTTTCTTTTTCTCTCTCTGTCCTGCTTTCTTACTTTTTTTCCTTCCTCCCTTCTTTCCCTTCTCTTTCTCATTCCTTCCTCCGTTCCCTTCCTTTTCTTTCCTTCCTTCCTTCCTTCCTTCCTTCCTTCCTTCCTTCCTTCCTTCCTTCCTTCCTTCCTTCCTTCCTTCCTTCCTCTCTCTTTCCCTTTCTGTCTTGCTTTCTTTCCTCCCTCCCTTATTTCCCCCCTCTCATTCCTTCCTTCTTTTCTTCTCTCTCTCTCTCTTTCATTCTTTCCTTCCTCCTTTCCTTCCCACCGCCCTCTCTCTTTCACTTGTTTTCTAATCTTTCTCTTGTGAATCCACCCAGAATTGCAACGAGCGATTCCAGTACAAATACCAGCTGCGTTCGCACATGAGCATCCACATCGGCCACAAACAGTTCATGTGCCAGTGGTGCGGGAAGGACTTCAACATGAAGCAGTATTTTGACGAGCACATGAAAACACACACAGGTGAGATTTGTGGGCCTTTCCCGCGTCCTTAACCTAGTTCAGTTTTCCTGTTTACCTGAAAGAGGCGGCAGCTCGTTTGTGCAACCTGGGTGGTTGTTCCCAGCTGTTGTGAATGCTCACAATTCAGCCTGGCCAAGAGAGATGCCGGCCTCCAGGCAAACCCAGCGCAGAAACCCAAGTCACTGCCCTTGACTACAATCACAACCGAGCCCCAGATTTCTGTTGCTAAGCAAGGCAGTCGTTGAGTGAATTTTGCCACAGCTGTTAAGTGAACCACTGCAGCTGTTTATGTTACTAACATGATTGTTAAGTGAATCTGGCTTCCCCATTGACTGTCAGGTCACAGAAAGGGATAACAACTGTGGCAAAAAAAAGGGCGTAAAATGCAGCAAAGCTCACTTAACAACGGTCTCAGCAACAGAAATTTTGTGCTCAATTGTGGCCATAAGGCGAAGACTATGCGTACAGTGCATTGATCACTCAGGAACAGATTTGCAAGGGACTTTGGAGGTTTTCTAATCCAACCCATCTCTCAAGCAGAAAATACTATACTATTCCAGGCAAATCATTGTCCAATCTATTTTTGAAAGCCTCCATTGTTGAAGCATTCACAACTTCTGGTGGCAAGTTGTTCCACTGGTTAATTGTTCTCCCTGTCAGGAAATTTCTCCTTAGTTCTAGGTTGCTTCTCTCCTTGGTTACTTTCCATCCGTTGCTTCTTGTCCTGACTTCAGGTACTTTGGAGAATAAGTTATATCTAGAGGTAGGTATTCACCTGGTTCTGACTGGTTCTGGAGAACCGGTAGCGGAAATTTTGAGTAGAACTGGCAAATACCCCCTCTGCCTGGCCCCGCCCCCATCTATTCTCCGCCTCCCAAGTCCCAGCTGATTGGCTGGGTCTCCTTTGGTTGCCCTGCACAGGAGTACAGAGCTGGAAAGCAGGTTAGTGGGGTGGGGAGGGAAGGGGGAGTATTGTGCAGTATCCTTCCCCTGCCACGCCCACCAAGCCACGCCCACAGAACTGGTAGTAATAAATTTTGAATCCCACCACTGATTATATCCCTCTTCTTTGCGGCAGCCCCTGAGATGTTGGAAGACTTCTCATGCCAACTTAATCCTAGAATCCTAATCTAAATCATCTCTAACTCTTGAAAATCGGTTCTGGGGCAAAGGTGACCGCCGCCGGCCATTTTCAGAAAACACCGCTGACTCTCCTCCCTCTGTGTCCTCCTGTTTCTCCAGGCGAAAAACCCTACATCTGTGAGATCTGTGGGAAGAGCTTCACCAGTCGCCCCAACATGAAACGCCACCGGCGGACGCACACGGGCGAGAAGCCCTACCCTTGCGACGTCTGCGGTCAGCGCTTCCGGTTCTCCAACATGCTCAAGGCTCACAAGGAGAAGTGTTTCCAGGTCAGCAACCCCGCCGGTTTAGATGCCAACCGAGATACGAACTCTCTTGGTCTTCTCGCTTCTCCAAACACCAACTCAATTCTTCTGGCCACCAGCGTCCCTCTCCATTCGTCCTCGCCTTCCCATGCACTTCCTTTGCCTCTCGGACATCCTCACGCGCACCCCGTACCTGCTCCTGCTCCTCCTCCTCTTCTACCACCACCACCGCCAGGTCTTTTCCCTGGTAGCAGAGTGAACATGGACAACTAGACCCTACTCAACCTCTGGTGTGTCAAACTTGGCTCATAGTTCCGTAGGTCTCTCTGATGCCGTTGTGGTTTTGTGGTCAGCGGGCATCACATTGGGGTTTTAGTTTGAGGGACCTGACGTTCTTGGTTCTTCAACAGGAGCATCTAGAACCTTGAGATTGTGGTTGCTACTCAAGCCACAGAGGTGACACCGTTGATCTATTTGCTCATGGAAGGAGGCCGACCACTTCTGCAGTTTTGACCAGGTCTTCTGAGATATCTTGGACTTCGGCTCCTACATCCGTATGGATGGTGTAGGAGAAACAGTTATTTATTGACTCTGAAGATCTTGAGAAGATGATAGAGCTTGCAAGGTGGAAAGACACAGCCAAGGACTTTCCGAACCTGTCTGGTCAGATAATAGGTTTGGGTTTCTCTTGGAGGTTGAAATGGAAGGCGCCTTCACTCGAGGCAAGAAGGTTGTGAAGGGAGCACTCCAGTTTTTCATGGTCCTCTGAATAGAAATATGGAAACCTTGCTCCATGGAAGTCCCAAAGGTACTTTTTCAGGAGGCAACTGGACTTTTCTTATTTTATGTTTCGCTTTTCCCCCCAAGAAGATTCTTCAGCTCTGACTGGATGGATGGTGGGGAATGGAAGGATTTGTATTCCCTTTGCTCCATGGAACTGAAAGGAAACAGCAAGGTGTGGACGGTAAAATTACCCTTGGTGTGAGAAAGTGGATCCTTGAGGGTGTGGCCTTGTAGCGCCTTCTTCCAAGGACAGCTTCTCACTCATTCACTCTCCGCCGTTCTTGCCTATCCTTTGGTACAACTGTCCGGTTCTCAGCTTCCGTAGCTTGAAGCTCAGGTGGCCACCACTGAAGGCGATAACACTAGAGATGACGCTCTCCCCTCACTAACAGTCCCTTGAAAACAGTAGAATGGTAGGACCTTTTTCCTTGATCACCATCAAGGCTTAAATCCAGCATCTTTAGATATATTATGGAATCCTCATGCACCCTAGACATCATAACTTGGTCTACAATTCCTTTGATTTCTACTCTTCACCTACTATTCCTGAGGAGAATGCAGTTCCTGAGGAACTTCTTCTAAAACCAAGACGATCTTCTCCGCAAGCTCTTTGGAGGAAGACCTTGAGACATTTTTTAACACGAAGCATTGGTTCTTTTAACTTTTCTGCACTTTATTATCTAATAATCCTAAGAGCTCTTTTGCAGTAGGACCTCGCTGAGTTGTTCTGAAGGAGTAGAACTTGGGAGCGTCATTGGCTACGTCGTCTTTCATTTCTAAGGCAAAGAACTCCTTCCCTCGAGTCAAAACGGGCCACGTTTCAAAGATTGCCCATTCATTCTGCTGTCGAGATGCACACCCTAGGTGTTCCACAGGTGTCCCTTGAGCCAACGTTCACTTCTTTGGCTAAGTTTCTTTGACAATAAGATCCAGGACTTTGGTTTGTTGGTGTGTATGTCCATGTGAGCAGGGCTGGCCCCTGGCACAACCGCCACAATGCATGAACCGACAAGGGAAACGCTTTGGAAAGGCTGTGGCGTCAACCAATGTGCAATAACAGTGAACTGGTGGACAAAAGACACACATTGATTGTTGTTGATTGTCTCATCCGGTCCTTCCTGATCAAACTCTTAAAAGTGGTGTTTAATTTGGGAAAGAGAACTTCGCTACAGGTAGTCCTCAACTTATGGCCACAATTGGAACAGGAACTTCCATCACTGAGCGATGCTGTTGTTCAGTCGCGTCCAAATTGACATAAATTTTTTTTGTCACAAATCAGCTGGTCTTTTAAATGAATGCCACGATCGTTAAGCGAATCTGGTTTGCTCCATGGACTTTGCTGTCCGTATCCAGCGGGGAAGGTTGCATATAGCAATCACGTGATCCCGGGATCTGCAGCTGTCACGAGTACATGTCGGTTGCCAAGTGCATGAATTTTGAACGCAGCGACAGTCATAAGTGCGAGGACCAATTGTAACTTTTTTAAAGCATTGTTGAATGGTAATCAATGGTCGTAAGTTGAGGACTATCTGTAGCAGGGATCTTCAAACTTGACAGCTTTAAGACTTGTGGGACTTCAACTCCCAGAATTCCTTCTCTAGTCATGTTAGCTCAGGAATTCTGGGAATTGAAGTCCACAAGTCTTAAACTTGCCAAGTTTGAAGACCCTTGATCCATAGTATATTAAGGAAGGAAGGAAGGAAGGAAGGAGGAAGGAAGGAAGGAAGGAAGGAAGGAAAACTAATTTTATAAATGCCTGCCATTTGGCCACCTAATAATATTTTTATGGCATTTGGTATCTACTGCCCAATTATCCAGAAAAGGAAAAAATAACATTCACCAATAACTCTTAGTATTGGAAATAAAAAATACTTTATAACAAAGCACTTTATTCTGTACAGATCTTTAGAAGGGGAAAATCTGAGACCCTTTTTAAAAATGCATCTTAAGAATTCCTGTTGGAGAAAAAAACACCGAGGTGTTTCTTTTAAGCATCTTAAAAGAAATATATACATATATATATATATATATTCATATTCCTATTCTAGCTTCTAGGGAAAAGTTTTTCCACAATCCTGGTCCTCTTTCAATGCTGAAGCGGATGGACATGTTTCAAACAGGTAGAGAACACACAGGTAATCCTTTAGTTAAGACCAGAAAGGAGCTGTCCCAATATAGGACATCTTTTAAGCTTTACTGCGGTGTCGTTCCCTAAACGTTGCCACGGTCGAGCAGATTATGGTTCCCCTATAGATACGGCTTTGCTGAAAATGGTAGTAAGTTGCTGCTTTACAAAACCGTGGTAAAACGTAGTTCCTGTGTCTGCCGGACATCGTTGAGTGCCTGAAATCCAGTCACATGACCTTAGAGAGGTCTTGACTGTTAGAAACTGGGTCCTGATCCCCGTTTTTGGAGTGGGGGGCGGTTCTGTCGTAACTTCAGGTCGTCAGTAAGTGATCGGCCATAACCCCAGGATTACCTGTGCTTTCGAGGGCTTTTCAGAAGCAAGCAGCGCCAGGAGAAAGGTTCAGGAATGGATCTGAATCGATATGCTTAGAGTGGGATCATTGATTGCTCTTACGCAAAAATCCTTCCATCTAAACGTGCTAGATTCGCACCCGAACCCCCTTAACGGGAAAAGGGGTGGGTGGGGAACGGGACAGTCGCTCATTTAGATGTATTTCAGGGTGCTTCTCGTTCCCACAGCCCGTGGTTCCCAATGCCCTTCTCCGAATGGATGAAATGAAGCGTTTGAAATTCCTGCCAAGCTGCTAGTCCTCTGGAGGGCTCTCTTGCTAGCCGAGTTTTGGAGGAGATCTGATCTGTGTTACCACTCGGTGTGATTCATGTGTTTTGTGGGCTGCCTGCACCTGCTGAAGGGAGGGTGGTTGTTTTTTTTGCACTAGTGATAAAGATTTCACAAGAGTGAAACTCAACACTCCCTTCCTGGAAATGGGCTCAGCAACTGACACCCTCACCCTGATTCCTGATTGGGAATGGGATTAAGGACCTCAGGTCATTACAAAGCTAAATGTAAGTAGCCCAAAGCTTACACTAAACTCGGAATCTCACCTTTTAAATCTAGAATAAAACGGTGGTTTTCCTTATTTGCAGTTGTTAAGTGAATGCGGTGGTCGTAAAACCGACTGTGGGGTCGCATGATTGCAGGATGCTAATAAATGCGGCCATGTTGCCAAGCATTTGAAGCACAGTCAGGTGACCGGCGGGGTGGGCATGACTCATAATTTTGGAATTGGTTCATAACTCCCTTTTTCCGGTTAAGTTGTAACTTTGGTCATTAAATGACCAGTCCTAAGTCGAGGGTTGCCTGAACTGCAGCATTTCTCAACCTTGGCAACATGAAGACGTGTGGACTTCAACTCCCAGAATTCCCCAGTCAACCATGCTGCCTAGAGAATTCTGGGAGTTGAAGTCCAAATACGCCAGCTGAGGAATTCTGGGAGTTGAAGTCCAAGTATGCCAGCTGAGGAATTCTGGGAGTTGAAGTCCAAATACGCCAGCTGAGGAATTCTGGGAGTTGAAGTCCATGCCTCTTAAAATTATTGTGTGAAAACCATCTGAGTGCCTGTCTCCAGATGTGTTCACATTACAGTAAGCATTTTTTTTAAGAATTTAGGAATTCTTTCATCATGCCTGGAGGGGATCGAGTTGGGAAAAATCTCTCCTTTAGCCAGAACTATACCTGAGATTGCTTTCAATAATAAAAAAAAAGTTTTCATATTAAAAAGGGTGGGGATTTTTTTTTCTCTCTTGCTTCTCTTTAACTCCTTCCTGCTGTGTTTTACAGTCAGTCAAAAATCTTGCCTCCACAGCTTCTGCCCCACAGCTTTTTCGCGAAAGGTTATCGTTAAAAAGGTGAAGGGTTTTTGTTAAAAAAAATAATAATAATGACCTTTTCATCCCAGAAATATCCTCAATTTATAATTTACAAGTCCAGAGAAGAGCAGCTAAGATGATTAAAGGCCTGAAGACAAAAACATGTGAAGAACGGCTGCAGGATTTGGGTATGTTTAGTTTAATGAAAAGAAGCATTGGTGGTGGTGGGTCAACATGGTAGCAATATTCCAGGAGTGGAGAGGCTGCCACAAAGAAGAAAGCGGGGTCAACTTATTTTCCGAAGCAACCGAAGGCAGGACGAGAAGCAACAGGTGGAAACTAACTAAGGAGAGAAGCAACCTGGAATTTAAGGGGGAATTTCCTGACAGTGAGCACAATTAACCAGTGGAACAACTTGCCACCAGAGGTTGTGGATGCTTCAACAATGGAGGCTTTCAAGAAGAGACTGGACAGCCAGCTGTCAGAAATGGTATAGGATCTCCTGCTTGGGTGGAGGGTTGGACTAGATGACCTACAAGGCCCCTCCCAACACTGTTCAATCAGGATAATAATCAGATTCGAGTGGACTCTTATGTTAAAATCTAGTTGCCCGGATTATCACGCCGCACCCCAAACCGGAACGTGGACACAAACCCTCCCTGCCCTCATCCTGGTTTATCGACAGAGGCAACGGCGCAAGGTTTTGCAAAACCAGAATCTTGTATTTTCGACCTAACGAAGCCAAATCGAGGCGCCATGATGGAGACTTTTCGAAGCTAGGCAACGAGGGACGTGAGGAAGGCAGCCCAGATTGGAAGGGGTTCCGGCACTGGGTCACATCTTCGTCAGCCGCAAGACATTGAGGCGCACCGGAATAAACGTGGCACCGGAGGCGTATTGGATCTCTCGGAGAACCCCTTCCCACTTCTTCCCTTCTTCGTCGTACCTGGAAAGGATGCACATAAATCTTTATCAAGGGATGAATGAATCTCTGTTGAGTCAATTGTGATATGAGAAGATACAGGCAGTCCTCGACTTAGGACAGTTTAGCGACTGCTGAAAGTCACCACGGCACTGAAAAACATGATTTATGACTGTTTTTCACACAACCATTGAAGTCCCACCCCCCATGGTCATGTGATCACTTGGCAACTGACTCCTATTTATGACGGTTCCAGTGTCTGGGGGTCATGTGATCCCCTTTTGCGACCTGACAAGCCAAGTCAATGGGGAAGCCAGATTCACTTAACAACCGTGTGACTAAGTCAACAACTGCAGTGATTAACTTAACGACTGTGACAAGAAAGGTCGTAAAACAAGTCAAAAATTCGCCAAACAAACGTTTCACTGAGCAACAGAACTTTTGGGCTTAGTTGTGGTTGTAAGTTGAGGACCACCTGTAGTAGGGAAAGTGTTAAAGTACTGAGGTTGTAGCGATAGCAGGTCGTATTTGTAGCTCAGGGTTAAACTGGGGATTCTTTGGTGGTCTCTGAGCTTGGGGTTTTTCTTTGAGACGTTTCAGGACCCAACTAGGTAACATCATCAGGAGGTAGACAAGAGAAGGCTGTGAAGTTCTTAGTGCTCTCTGGGCATGGTGGCTTTTCTAGCAGACATTTCATGTCCCAACTAGATGGCATCCTCACAGGTTAAGAGTGGAGTTTGTGCAGGAGGAAGAAAGGACTGTGGGATCCTTGGTACTTTCCGAGCTTAGTGATTTTCTGGCAGACATTTCACGACCCAACTAGGGAACATTATCATTTCTAGAAGCTAGAACCCTCCTTCCTTCTAGCACTGATGAGGTTCCCTAGTTGGGCCATGAAACATCTGCAGGAAAACCACCCAGCTCAGAGAGCATCGAGATTCCCTACTGAAGTTGTTTATGCAAGTAGTCTCATGTTGTGACCGCAAGGGAGACTGCTCCCTTTAGTCATAAGACGTACTTTATTATGGTTTTGGGGGTGGTCATTTAAGCAAATATGTGATCATAAAACAAATACGGTCGTTAAATGAACACCACGGCTGTTAAGTGAACTCAGTGTTTGCTATGGCACCAATCTGGAAACAAGTCCTGGTTTCTGGCAAAACATAGCAAATGCAGTCACACGACCCCGAGATGCTGCAAAACAGCATCGATGCAGCCATATTGCTGAGCTCCGGGCCGCAGCGACCTTCGGAACTTCAGGTCTGGGTTTAAGTTCCCTTTTTTCAGGTATTTCTAATTTTGGTCACTAAGCGAGCAGTTGTAGGTTGAGGACTACTTGTAGTTGTCTGGTGGGGTTATTTACACACATACACACACACACCATTTTTGCATTGTCCTTTCTCCCTTTTCATATTCATTCTTTCTTTCTTTCTTTCTTTCTTTCTTTCTTTCTTTCTTTCTTTCTTTCTCTCTTTCTTTCTTTCTTTCTTTCAGTGACTGTAGGCACCTTTCAATTTTTTTTTGCTTGCCTTCTAAATTTATCTTTGCACTTGTAAACAGTAATAAAATGATTACCAGAAAATAGGAAGGAAGGAAGGAAGGAAAGAAGGAAGGAAGGAAGAGGAAGGAAGGAAGGAAAGAAGGAAGGAAGGAAGGAAGGAAGGAAGGAAGGAAGAGGAAGGAAGGAAAGAAGGAAGGAAGGAAGGAAGGAAGGAAAGGGACGCTAATATTCAGGGCTTCTCACCTCCAGACATCATTCATCTCGGTGGGAACCAGTTCTCCAGATTCGCTCTCGATGGTGGCAAAACCGCCAATTAAATAGAGCGTGCCCCCCAGGCTGACCAGGCTGACCGAACTGCGTTCTTGGGGGAAGTCAACAAAAGATTCCCACCTATTGAGAAGCAAAAGAGAAAACAGACCCTTTAAAAAAAGGGGGGGGGGGACGGACTTCCATCTCACATCATTCTGAAGGCTTCATGAGGACTAGTCCCTTAGGCTGCGTGCAATAACACTCACACCATTTCATCTTGTTGACACGAGTCAAAATGTTATTGCTGTAGGAAGATCAGCGATTATCCAGAAGACCCTGCCCTGTAAAAATTAACTAGGAATCGTGTGTCAGTCCCAAGGAACTAATTCTGTTTTATTCTAAGGAGACATTAACATGATCTTGCCTGTCTGGAGCCGAATCTCCCACCGCTCCTTTTGACTGCGGGATGTATTTGGGCAGCTCTTTCCTGAATTTTTTTCCCCAATTGACTGTTAAGCGACTAAGGACTCCTGACTTGCTTATCTAACATATACTTTCCTACAAGAGGAAAGTGCTTCCTTTCTTGGCAGCTAGAAAGGAGGGGATGGTGAGTTCTAGTTCTCTCCTAGGCATGAAAGTCAGCTAGGTGACTTTGGGCCAATCACCAGGAGACGGTGAGTTCTAGTCCCGCCTTAGGCATGAAAGCTGGCTGGATGACTTTGGGCCAATCACCAGGAGACAGTGAGTTCTAGTCCCGCCTTAGGCATGAAAGCCAGCTGGGTGTCTTTGGGCCAATCACCAGGAGACGGTGAGTTCTAGTCCCACCTTAGGCATGAAAGCCAGTTGGATGACTTTGGGCCAATCACCAGGAGACAGGGAGTTCTAGTCCCACCTTAGGCATGAAAGCCAGTTGGATGACTTTGGGCCAATCACCAGCAGGTGGTGAGTTCTAGTCCCACCTCAGGCTTGAAAGTCAGCTGGGTGACTTTGGGCCAATCACCAGGAGATGGGGAGTTCTAGTCCCAGCTTAAGCATGAAAGCCGGTTGGATGACTTTGGGCCAGACTCTTTCTCTCAGCCCAGCCCAGCCCAGCCCAGCCCACAGAGTTATTGTGGGGGAAATAGGAGGAGGTATGTTGAATCTGTTCCTTGCCTAGAGTTATTTGTAAAAATAAATAATAAAAGGCAGGTTATAGAGAAATAAAATTAATGAACCATAAACAACGTGATTGCCTGAAAAAAAACAAAAACAAATTGCAAATTGATTGAAAGGCCCTGCAAGTTGCCTATGGGACACTGTGCAGCCGGAGGTTCCACTTACTTATCCGTCGCAATATCGTAAACTTCCACTGAGTTGGTCAAACCAGAATCGGTCACTCCTGCCGCCACGTAAATTTTACCATTGTGGACCGTGGCCCCAAAGAGAGAACGGTGGATTTTCATGGGCGACAGTTCCTTCCATTCAAACTTCTTGGGGTTGTACACGGTCAAATAGTTCAGACATTTTCTGCAGCAGAAAAGGAGGACGTAAAACAGGTTTGCAAACAAACCATGAACCAAATTTTATTATTATTACTATTCTTATTATACACATAGTTCC